ATGACCGATTGCAAACCATTCTCATGTCCACCAAACAATCCACTGATGATGCTGTGTTTCATGACCTTCATCTTTATCGAAGTATTGTGGGTGCGCTCCAACAATCACCCGTCCAGATTTGTCTTTTGTTGTTAATAAAGTTTGTCAGCATATGCATCTTCCTCTTAATCACCATTTCACCGCAGTCAAGCGAATTCTTCGTTACAAAGGCACGTTACACCATGGTCTCACTCACTCTCACTCCTGGCCCGCTTGCTCTCGCCGCATATTTTGACGCTGATTGGGCTGGCGACAATACTGAGCTCATTCTACTATAGGATTTTGTATATTTCTTGGTTCTAATTTAATTACTTGGTTCGCAAAAAACAATAGTCCACTTTGGCCAGGCCTTCTATGGAAGCAGAGTATCGCGCTTTTGCTCAAACTTTGGCTGACCTCACTTGACTCAAGATGCTTCTCCACAATCTTCAAATTTCGGTCACTCTGTGTTGCGAAAAGATGAGTTTTTTTTTTTTTTAGGGGGGGGGGGGGAGAGAGAGAGAGAGAGAGAGAATGTCCAACGATAATGATGAGGCTGGTTGGATTTCGGCCAATAGTTGGTGGCAATGATTTAGTGACAAATTTGGGTCTAGGTTGGATTTTGTGTTGCGGAGGCGATGGTTGTCATGGCAGTGCAGTGGAAATGGGACCATGACAGTGCATTGTGTGATGATGTGGTGCTTGAGTAGTTTTCCAATTGAAGAGACGGAAGGTGAAATGAAGCTCATTTGGGCTACTCTGTCATGCACGAAAACTTTCAGTTTTGATGCTTCTACTCGGGGTTGGGTAGATCGCTTGCGGTAGGTTGCAATCTCTTGTTTTGTCCTGTGTTTATTAATTTTAATCTAATCTATTTTATTTCAAAATTTGGTCGATCAAACATTTCTGTTATTTAATTAATTGTATCAAATTGAGTCAAGTCGACTTATTTAATGTCGTGTTATATTCATGTTAACCCACATAACTTGTAAATAAAAAATTTAATGTTCAGATTTAAGTTTAAAATTTAATTATCACTTAATCGAATCTATGTTCATACTAAATTAAAAATTAATTTAATAAATATAATAAAAAATGAGTAAAAATATTTTATTTTTCAATAATTATGTCAATGCTTAACAAAATATAATAAAAATTAACATTTTAGTCTTATGATACTAGTTAAACATGTTTATTGTGTCAATATTTGAGTTATTCGTATTTGATACTAATCTGATTCATTTATTATTCGTACCGACGAATCATGTCATTTACCGGTTTGTGTCGATAAATAATCAACTTTTAACAACTAATTTTATGTCAATTTTGCATCGTATTTACGTACCATTTCAAAATTATCACCCTTAACTTTACGGCGGTGTTGGTAGTGCCGATAAACAGGGCGTGAGCGGAGGAGGATGGTGATTGTGATTAGTAAAGAGAAAATGAATGCTTCTTGTGGGATGGGGTGGTGGCATGCGGTGTTGTAATGGTGTAAAAAAAACAATGAGGGGAGGAGGATGGTGGCGCTGTAGTGAAGAGAGAAAGAGCGTGTTGTGGTGGCGGGGCTAAAGTGGTGTGTTGATGTTGAAGAAACAGTGAAATGGTGGGGTATAAATTTGGATTAGGGCTTGGGTTTCAGTGAATTGATTTTGTTTGATTTTTTATTAGAGGGCAAAATGGTCGTTCATCACTTTGCGACCGGTCCGTTGGATCACCGTCGCTGAGGGATGGTAGTATAAATTTTCATATTTGAGGAGCTCGTCTGATTAAATTACAAACCTTAGAGAGGTTTGATGTAATTCTTCTGACATCAAATCAGAAAGCTTCTTCTTTTCCGACCAACAAAAGCTCGATTATCGGGAGTTGACTAATTGTCTCCGCTAAACTGCTTCCATAGATTGATGGCCGAAAGTGCTTTTGATTACTTGTTGCAGGAGTTGGACCAGCCTATTGATTGCAGAACCGGTTTGAGTTTAAACCAGAAGGAGCAGATCCTATATCTATTGAACATGCTAAAACTCATCTGGACCTTCTTCAACGAATTGATTGAGAAATTCGATGAGCGTACTGAAGTTGATATTCTGGAAAATAAACTCAACGCACACCTTGAACGATTAAGACGATCTGTTGACGAGGAAGTGTATGATGCCGAGGAAAAGGTTGCCAGTCTCAAAAAAGATCTTAAAGACATCATCAAAAAGACGTCGGATATTTGGAGCAAGATGTGTGATAACGAAGTCCAGCAAGTGGAACAATCTGGTGGACGGTCGACGAGAGTAGATACTGTGATGAGCTTCAGTTCAGCGAGAATAGATCCATTCATGGTAGAGAAAGAAACGTTGGTGGGCTCTAATGATGAGGCGGTGAGTATAGTGCAGCGGCTTATTGAAGGACAAAATCAGTTACAAGTGTTGCAAATTGCCGGTCAGCTTGGATGTGGTAAGACAACTCTGGCTGGAAAAGTGTACAATCATCCCTCCATTACACTTCACTTCAATGTTCGTGCATGTATTAATCTACCATTGTCACCGTTGGGTTTGCTGTTTGCCAGTTTCAATTCCGTTGTCCTGATCACTGATCGAATCTGTAGAATGACACCTAAAGAGTTATTTGAAGTGCTTTACGGATCCTTAAAAGGCCAGAGATATCTTGTTGTCATCGAGGATATACAGCATGCTTTCGTCTGGGAGTATTTGAAGAGATTTTTTCCAGATGACAACAATGGAAGTACAATTATACTCACTAGGCCGCTCATTGGTATGACAAGTTCGCACTGGTTTTGGGATTCTCGTGACTTTCATTTAATTCATTCCTTAACTGAAAATGAAAGTTGGGTTTTATTGCAAAAAATTGTATTCGGGGAAGAAAGTTGCCCTGAAGAGTTACAGCAAATCGGACAGGAAATAGCAAAACAATGTGGCGGATTACCTCTAAGAATTGTAATCATGGCAAGACTTCTTACCAAGGGAGAGAAGACCCAATATTTTTGGGATCACGTTGCGCGAAGTGTGAGTTCAAAAATGATGAGCATATGTTCTCCTTTATCTGGGTTTGATCATGATTTCATCCAACGAATTGATGACATCATAGGACATGGATTTTTCAACGAGGGAATTAAATTGACTTTAAGCAAAGAGTTCAAGAAGCATTTTGACATGAAAATGTGCAGCAGAGTCGCCAACATTGAAGCCGTAGGTTCGTTGACTGCAAGTACTCCCAATTTAGTGAAAGTCATGTCCAGTGGAATTTCGTCAGTACCAACGCTTTTGAATGCAGGGCAAACATCCAAAAAGAGGCCACCAGTACCGGGTATTCCAAACGTAGATAAGGAAATTGTGGTTGGCTTTGATGATGAAGCAAACAGCATTAGAGAGCGACTCATTGGTCGGGAAAAGCTAGAGGTTGTCTCAATTGTGGGAATGCCTGGAATAGGTAAGACAACTTTAGCCAGCAAAATGTACAATGATCCTTTGATTAAGTATTACTTCTATATTCGGGGTTGGGTCCAGGTGTCTCAAGTATATACAAAGAGGGATTTGTTCCTTGGCATTTTGCATTCTGCTTTTCAGCTTAGAGATGAAATTCATGAAATGAGTGATGAAAAATTAGGAGATGAGCTGCGCAAACGCTTAAAGGGTAAGAGGTATTTGATCGTGCTGGACGACATTTGGGAAATTGGGGTCTGGTATGATTTGGAAAAATCTTTTCCAAACGACAATAATGGAAGTAGAATCATGTTCACTAGTCGGATCACCAATATTGTTTCGCGTACTAAATTTAATAGCTCTCATCATCTGCGTTTTTTAACTCACGATGAAAGCTGGGAACTGTTGCAACAGAAGATATTTAAGAGAGTAAACTGCCCTCTAGAGCTGGTGGAAATTGGAAAGCGAATCGCAGCCAATTGTCTGGGACTACCACTTACAATAGTTGTAATAGCTGGACTTCTTGCAAAGACAGAGAAAACGCCAGACTGGTGGAACCAAGTTGCTGATAGTGTAAGTTCATACATTGCTAGAGACCCAAATCAGTGCATGGACACACTAGCACTAAGTTACAGCCACTTGCCTCATCACTTGAAACCGTGCTTTCTTTATTTTGGAGCATTTCCCGAAAACTATGATATTCCGGTGTGGAAGTTGGTCTGGCTATGGATAGCAGAGGGATTTATACCACAAATTGGACAGAAGAGCAAGGAAGACATAGCGCACGATTACTTGATGGACCTAATTGATAGAAGTCTGGTTTTAGTTGCCAAAAAGGGGTCTGATGGTGGAGTCAGAGCATGTCGTCTCCATGATCTGTTGCGTGATTTGTGCCTGAGAAAAGCTGATGAAGAGAATTTTATGTTGCAGATTAATGGGTACGAACAAGTTCTATCTTTTTTAGATCTGGAAAAGAGACATTGTCGCCTTGGCATCCATTCTCAAGTATTTGATTTTATAACTTTAGAGCCTCCTACCGAACATATCTGCTCTCTCTTATGCATTGGTCCTGAATCTGGCACATTATCTGGGAAGCATGCATCACACATTTACCAGGCCTTAAGGAATCTTCGGGTTCTGGATTTCTCATCCATCCCTATTACCTGCATTTGCAAGGAGATAGTGCAACTTGGTCATTTGAAGTATTTAGCGCTTCAGATTAGAGACGGTAGCGTACCGACATCAATATCCGAGTTCTGGAACCTGGAAACCCTCATCATATCATCGAGGATGAATATTACCATACCGCAAAGCATTTGGAAGATGGTAAAGTTGAGGCATTTACTTATTACATCAGGAGAAAATAATATCGAAAAACCTTGTTTAAACGTAGCATCTACTAGTGAAGGCTATTCCCCGTTGAACAACCTCCAAACCATCTCGCAAGTGTGTCTTGCTAGTTGCTCTCAGGATGTTTTGGGAAGAACTCCTAGTCTTAGAAAGTTGGGATTTTGCGGACCCATGATGTCAGAGTCTGGTTACCTAACATTCCCTGATCTAGACTTTCTAAACTATCTTGGTACTTTAAAGTTTATGGACACGAACACCCTTGTCCGCCTGCCACGCTATCTGCGATGGGAAAAGTTTCCCCCAAACCTTAAAAGGCTGACTCTTGCAAATACTGATCTAAAGTGGGAGGAGGTGAAAATCCTAGGTTTGTTGCCTAACCTGGAGGTTCTCAAGTTAAAATTCCACGCCTGCACGGGAGAGGTGTGGGAAACAACAGGGGGGGGATTTCGGCGACTTAGAGTGTTGAAACTTTTTCACTCGAATATTGCAAAATGGGAAACCTCTAGTACTCACTTTCCAGGCCTTCAACAATTGATGCTAAAAGGATGTTCTCAACTCAAGGAAATCCCTTTTGAATTAGGAGATATACTCACACTAGAAATTATTGAGTTGATTGATTGTAGTTCCACTGCCATAAAATCTGCAAGACAAATTGAGGAAGAGCAAAAGAGCAAGGCAAACGATTGGCTGCATGTTCATATCAGCCCTCCAGATTGGGACTTGACTACACATTCTTGACTTTGCTGAGCATTGGTGAATGTTGGCATGACTAAAGTTGAAGAGCCTATGGTATTTTTTCTTCTTATTGTCTCCCTTTGAGTGTTTGAGACATGCTTTATTCCATCATTGTCTCCTTCTGAGCGTTGAGACATGCTTTATCCATTATTTGCTTCATGTCATCTAAACATTGCTTTGGAAATTGTTTGCATAATTTGCGTAGTAATATTAAGTTTATGTCCCTCTCAGGCTGATGTCATCTAGTGGATCATTGTGAATTTTTTAGACCAACTGTATCGTATTGGCCATTTCTCCTGCTGATCAAGATATTTCAACTTCTGACAGCTATAAAGCTTGCCAAAGAAGTTGGTCCTACAGGTATTGTGAAGTTAGTGCATTAATTTTACCATTGCACAAGCCTTGGTTTCTTTGTCCTTCCAATCTGTTGTGTTTACATTGGATTTCTTGTTTACTAGGCTGAAGAATGTTTACTAATTATATTTCTTTTCAGGTGAAGAACGTTGTGAGTGCTAATGAAACTTGATCTGATGGACAAGGGATATACAGGTTAGGTAATCACAACTACACAAACAAAAAGCCCTTTTTGCAATTTTCATAGTGGAATATCAACATCTTCTCTTCATCACAACATAGGCTTGCTCGTCCTTTGGTTTTTATACATTATAACACTTATTCTCTGGCGATTACTTATGTATCCTCAATTTTATCACATTTAAGGTGCTTGAGGGAAGAACATACAAGTTTCAATATCACTGGGTTGGAAAGTTGGTATTGTGAACTGTTTCGAGTTAGTAACTACAAGAACCTTGAAATGATGGCTGTTCATCCAAAGGACTCTATCCCTGAATTTAGACATTTGGTGTGTAAAATGGGCTCTTAGTTTCTTACAAATTTCTGTCTTATGTCATTTTTTCATCCATAGATATTTGCTTATGGTTTTCTCCTTACATTATTGATAACAATGTTTTTTCGGAAAATAATTGATTACAATGAGTTATAATCAATGTTTTTCTCCTTACACATTGTTACATAGAAGATTAGCATGGCTCCTGTACAAGAATGACATATACAAATTGAGAAATGGAGAAATATTGGCCACATTCATAACATCATATTATCTGCATTCCATTGAAAAAGATTTCTATTGTTTCAGTGTAGATTTTCATAGTATCGTAAAAAAAAATTCTGCAGGTGACCAGTGGGGATTGGATATATAGCGTCTTTGACAATTAACTACCAGCTGTTAGAGAAAAGCTCCTGATGGATCATCAAAGTTGTTCAAATACTGCAGAAAAAGAGGATACAGAGGCAGATGGTTATCAATCCCAGTGATGTACAGAAGGCTAATTGATGGATCTCTAGGCTTTTTTCAGTGGCTCAACCGAAGCTTCTGTTTATGCTGTCATACTCTCAGTTCCTACTCTGTATATCTGAATCTTACAGCTTTTATAATGGGCCATATGTGGATTGCTTGAGGATTCCTGTTCTTGTACAAACTATGTTGGATCCTATTAGTTAATGTGTTTATTGAAACTTAGATAGACCCTTTTCCATCCACTTCAAGGTGATTTTCTCAGGTTTTGTACACTCAACAAGGTTGTTTGATATGACAAATTCTTTTTACTTTTTTGGTGGTAAGGAATCGTCTCAATTACTCACCTTTTGGATTCACGGCTACAATACAATTCTTGAATGTATGCATTCATAAGCAATCCACTTGCATTCGTTGATTCTTCATAATTTTGTTTAATCAATTTTTTAACATATTTTAAGCGGCTTTTCTTAGGATTCTGTCAAGTGTAATGGTGCTTTAGGACTCAGAAAAAGTTTTCTACCAATGCTCTCATAGATGTGTTGACAGGTTCAGTTCCCTGGTCCTTATAACCATTCATGACCTTTCTGATCAAATCCACCTCCAAATTCATAATATGCATTTGGTGGAAATGTCTTTCAACTTGATCCAATATTGGCACCTTTAATTAGGGATGTCAATCGAGTCATGTCCAGTCAAGTTTAGGTTGTGTTGTATTATAATCTTGTCATTTCAGATTTGTACCATATTCATGTAATCCTTGAACTGGAAAAGGCAGAACTAGGATCTCACTTTCTCTTGAGGGGAGTCAAATAAATGTAATATTGTCTTTGTATGCCGAGGTTGCTTCTATGAGAGTGGCCTATGGCACCCAATTTGCAAAGCATTACCATTGCGGCAAAGCCTATCTTCTCACACGACACTAGATAAAGAAATTTAAAAGGTTAATAGTACTATTAGTCTTAAAGTATACCCATTTTATCAATTTAGTCACTAAAGTTTCAATTTATGTCACTTTAATCCTTAATTAGACAATTCGTTTAGTTTTTTGATTGAACGCGTGATCATTTCAGTAAAAACTTAACAATCCATTTATATAGGGACCATTTAAACACGAATTTAATATTTTAAGGATAAAATTGATACTTTAATGATTAAACTGATAAAGTTAACATACTTTATGAACCAAAAATACTATTAACCCATAAGATAGAAACTTGCTTTTGCTTCTATTCTGAATTGTCTTCCAAGCCAATATTGACGAGGAAGTATCTTACTTCCAAATTCCAACCCTACCTGTTCTAATGGCAAAACTACCTTTATTTTAACTTTTTTATGACTTCATTTGATTCTTGTCCCCAAAGTTTTATCATCCGGTTTTCTGTCTTGAATAAATGACAATTTATTCCGGAAAAGATTTTGAAATTTTTTACTTTAGCCCCTCAAAAATTAAAGGTCTCGTATTAGACCATATTCAGTCTTGACTCAAATTTAGGTCAATGTTTGAGCAAAAAATTTAATTTGATACAAAACACTCCAATAGAAAAATTCAAATTTAAAGGAATACAAACCCAAATTTAAAGAAGATCGAAATATGACCATTAAATTTTTAAAAGATGGTAAAATTTAATCATTGAAAATTTGAATAAAGAGTTTTCTTAATGTGAGTGAAAATTTGAGTCTCCCTTTATTTAGTACGAGTTTGAGCCATAGACTCCAATTAGTAGATATGTCTCAAGAGCAAAAACAAAATATAAAAAAAAAATTGATGTCTTATTTTCCCTCTAGTACCATCCCACATTTAGGGATGATAATGGACCGGAAAAAACGGGTATTCGTCTAAATCCGTCTCGTTTGGACCGAAGATAGACTATACGTATTGAAAGTAGACATATAAAGAGATACCCGTATAAACCCGTGCGGGGATGAAGGTGGGGATGAACTTACCCTTCTCCTGCCCCCGCTATACCCTTACCTCCCCTCCCTTTGCGCTCACTGATCGCTGCACTCAGCAGCTCAATCGAAGACTCGACAATCTGGTATCATATCTCTCTCTCTCTCTATGCTATTATATTATGTTATATGTAGGTTAAGAAGATTATGTTCTAATACTTGGGGATTTTGAGCATTGGTTATCATATTTAACCAGGAATTCGTCATTGGATGTTGATTAAAATCATGGGTTTTGCTATTTGTTGTCTTATGCCGATGACTAAAAGTGACAACAAAAAAAAAAGCAGAGTAATGGGTGGAAAAGGGTTTGTACTATTGATGATGTGATTAATTCCCATTCTGTTTGGGTAATAATTTTGTGTAAATTCTTGTATGTATACTGCTTCCATATCAGATTCAAAATATATAGGCTCCTTTTAGTCAGTGTGATTTTTCATGTATTTGTGCAAAAATTGAGAGTTTTAAGCTAGGGGTTTCCTTAGTAATTAGTTTGGGGACTGAGGCTATGATGTAATTTGTTAGTATAGAAATATCTTCCCAAAGCATTCGCGTCTCCAAATTTCACTACTCAGACTTCAACATCTTGGCGTTTTTCATTTTCCCAAAATATAGAGGCTTCCATCAAGTCAATATCCCTCTAGTAGAAGCATTCGTGTCTCCAAACATCCCATATGATATAAACCCCCCATCAGTTATGCAATCCGGGATTAGATCTCTTGTTTATTTCCCTAAGGGCCGGTTTGATATGTTTTTTGAGAAGGATTTGGATTGGTTTGTCCAAACTCTTCCAAATCTAAAGATGGGATTAAAATATGAGATTTAATATTTAATGTTGTCCCTACCCATATTTGATATGCGCAAAGATATATGACTATTATAATAATATATTTATATTTAAATGACTATTGTGCCCCTATAAAATGAGGTATATAGAATATATGAGGGATATAAATGTTATTTAGATGTTAAACTCATAAACCCACATATGAAACCCTCATATGGGTTTTATAAAACCCATGAACTTGGGTTTCATGACCAGGCTTAAACTGGTTGAGTTTCAAACCCTGGACTAGATGTGTATTTGTCAAATATGGGTTTGAGAGGATTTATTTCCCAACCCATGTTCCAAACCCCCCCCCCCCAACCCACATACCAAACAGGCCCTAACTGCATTGATCGCAGTCTCTAGATTGTTGTGTCATGATTCAGAGATAAGGTTTCAGGTAGTTTTTGGGCTTGGGCTTAGGATTGGGTGAATACGTGAGAAGTAGGGACGGGGTGGGAATTAAAAATTTACTCGTGGACAGAGATGGGGATAATAATTATACCCGTTAATGGGGATGGACGAAATTTTTTAAACGGATACAAGGATAGAGACTACACCCCCACCCCCGCTTCGGTCTGTTGACTTCCCTACCCACGTGTCATACATGCGATGTGATTTGAGATGATTAATTTTTGTGGAGAAAGTGAAACTAGTAAAACATTTTAGGGGGCAAAGTGGCATGCTGATTCTTTATAGACAGAAAACAAAATGCCACTATTTTTTCTTCATATATTTTTCCTAGAGTTAACTCGTGTCTAAATGTATGATGCAATGTAAATTATTTTAAAAGGAATGTTGGTGGCCGCTGGATGAATCTATTTGAGACCGTTGGATAAACTTATTGAAAGTCTGCCCTGTTTTATATTATAGATTATAGATTATAGATTATAGATACAAACTCTTCTTGTTCAATGGCCATATTAACAAGTTTGCCCTCCCACAATGTGTGTAAAACTTTGATATTGCAGGCTTTGGTGGTGCACTTGCAGTTGTCTACAAGGTGTTTTTTAGTGGCAAACATTCCCCTAGTAGCTCTAGAAGAAAGTTGTAAGCCTAGTAGGAGTTTGTCTCCACTACGATCAAGGGTGGAGCTAAAACTTTTATCCACAGCGGACACTTTAATTAAAAATTTTAATTTTATTCTTGCAATCCATAAAAGTAAAAGATTTTTAATTTATTATATTATATTTGATACTAGTCATTGCCCACATTTGAAGGCATTATGCAACACATAAAAATTACAAACAATTGCCTAGATTAAAAAAGTGACCCAAAAAAACATTCATACTAGTTAATTGTGACCATTCAACCAATAACACAACATAATTATAAACTTAATCACCAAATTTTCAACCCATCCTATCTAATAAAAACCTTAAGCAAAAATAAACAAATACTGACAT